GCTCCGCTCCGGGAAAGAGCCGGCGCGGCGGGCGGGGTCACTTACATGAGGAATCTCCTCGTGGCAAGCGCTTGGTAACGCTTTTTAAATTGTTGTTATTATTTAAAAGGCTTAACGGCAAGTTCCGCGTGCCCCAGGTGAGTGCGGGTCCTGCGTGCGCGGAGGTGAGCCTGCGGTGCGCCGTGTGCGTTGCCCCTCACGGCGCAGCGAAGCGCGCTCAGCGCTTCTCGTGAAGTAAGCTGAACCTCCCCGCCTGCGGTGCCGCTCGGGTTTGAAGGGGACTCGTAGTCCCACTCGCTGTAGTGTCTGTCACAGGGGTACTGCTTGCTGCAGGTGCGGTTGTCTAAATTTTTTTTAGGTGTTGTGTCAAATTATGTCTTAATAGGGAAATCTCCTGCTGCAGAGTAGTGTACTTCATCAGGACAAAGGTGAAGGCACGTTGTCCTCGCTCTTTCTGCCTCTGATTTGAGATTTGCATCCAAGTGAGGCTACAGTACTATTTACTCTTGGTGTTAAAAATAGGTAGTGCCTATCTCTGCTTCAGAGTTGTTTTCCTCCCAGCAAATGAGCATCTTCAGGTATCATATCTTCTTGTGATGGAAAACACTGGTGGTGAAACAAGAGGCATGCAAACTGCTAGTGTCCCAAGTACATTACAGTCACTAAGATCCTGTTGTCACTAGCATAAATCTTGCAGAGTAGGCAAACGTGAGTGATTTGAGGGTGGGAGGCTTCATAGGTTGACAGCCTGAGTATTAAACTCTCTGCTGAACTGGAAATGAGATACTTCATCTTTCACCTCAACAGCAACATGCATTATCCTCCTAGGTGAGGATCACCAAGCAGAACCGAGTGTGTGGGGTGGGAAGCACTGCTCTGACTCCTTTCTGGTCACTGGGTGGGCTGCATGTGTTGTCTTAGCTGCTGAGAAGGCTTCAAATGGGAAGGAGGAGAGGGAACGCTTTCAGGGATAGTAGCTGAAAGCACTTGCAGCTTAAGCTAGAAGTTATGGAAGACTCTTGTGCTCTTTAATGATCTAGGGTTTAGTGAAAATATAGTGGGTTTAAGATGAAAATGTACTGGTATGTATTTGAAGTGCCTGAGGGCAGCTGCTGGCTAGCTTGATGCCTCTGGGTTTATGCTGCATTGCAGCCTTAAGGATTGAGTTTGAAGAACCCCTTGATTTGTCCTGGACTAATCATCTTATGAATCACAGGTTTGTTTCATGCCTGCTGGAGCTGATACGACCCACAGCAGCAGAGCTTGTAATGCAGCAGCTCATGCTCAAGGGCAGAAATTGATTCCCCAGGAGCATTTTTACCTCACTGTATATTTTATCTAGGATTTGACTCTGTCCTGTAGAGGAGGTGACAGGTCAAATGAGCTGTTAAAAAATTAAAAACTGGAAGAGGACAATAGCTGCTCTTTGAATCTTGCTTAAAAAGTGTTCCATGCACTGTGTTGATGCATGTTAGGAAACTATATGGTTGGGTTTTAAACAATTCCTGGTAGGCAAGAGTTAACTACTTTAAGTCTGACTAGTCTGACCTTGGCAGCTGCAGCCTTCACAAGTACTTGGGGCAGAAGAAGGTGAGGCCTCAATTAGATGGTGGCTGTCAGGAAGCACCTGGCCACAATAGAAACCTGGAACACTTAAAAAGGGAAAAGTGTATTAATACCAGTTGGAGTTGCGTGACTGTAGAACATATGTAAGTATCTACATACTTCAAAACACAAGCCACTTAAGCACAAGGGAATGATCTGGTCAACTGTGACAAGATGCCTTAAAGTGCAGAAGTTCAGACGAGGCTGTGACCAAGTCTGGGCAGTGAGGTTCTCAAGTCCTTAAAGAGTAACACTAACATGTTACACATCATCTGAATACATGCCAGCTCTTACAGGCTTGTTTGCTCTCTACAAATGAGCAAAAGGTTGGGGCAAGTATGAATATTTCCAAAAAGGTAGTTTGATTATGCAGTGTATCTGAAGAAGGGTAAAGAGTTGCTTACAAAGACTGGAGTGCAAATTGAATAGTTATCTCACTTTGCAGCTGAAATTCTGTCGAGGATGCTGAAGTGCTGTAGTTTTTTGCAGGAGCAAGGTGTACTTGGCCTTTATCCCATGAGTGGTAGATGCTGGATGGTTGAGAAAGGAAAAACTTCTATGAAAAGGAAGAAATCTTGTATCTCTAGCATAATTAAAGTGCTTTCAGTGGACTGGATGTCTAAGCCCTGAAACTAACAACCTGAGTGTCTTCCACTGTTGTGTTAGTTGGAGAGAGCAGTTTGAGCTTTATGTATAATGAAACAAGTTCAAAGCTTAACTTTCAGAAGTGCTTTGCACTTACGGCTTATCTGGCTTCAGCTGGTGCTGCAGATGAGCTTAAACTTAGGTAAAGCTTGTGTGTCATCTTCGTTGATAATTTCCCTTTGACACAAACAGCTTTGAAGTACTTAACTCCACCTCACCAAAAAAAGGACAATGACAACTAATTTTTTTTGCCTGCACCAACAGAGAAGCTGTGTATCATTTCAGGTGAAAGGCTTGCTGATAATCATTAGTACATAGAATTACTTCTTTCTAGTTTGTGTCTCTGTGTAGACAGGAAAGCAGAGCATAGGATATATCTAGGAAGCATAAACAGAAAGTCTGACTTGTCTTTTTTTTTTTATATTCCACCTCCCTACAGTTTCTTTGGAGAAGAAAAACCTTAAGATGGCAGGCAAAGGAAGTAACACAGACTGCATGTCATGCAGTGTACTGAACTGGGAGCAGGTCAGCCGTCTGCATGAGGTTCTTACAGAGGTGGTTCCGATCCATGGACGAGGTAACTTCCCGACGCTGAAGATAACTCTGAAGGACATTGTTCAGACTGTTCGGAGTAGGCTGAGTGAAGCAGGCATTGTGGTACATGATGTCCGTCTGAATGGCTCTGCAGCTGGTCATGTCCTGGTCAAGGATAATGGTCTGGGATGCAAAGACCTGGATCTCATTTTTCAAGTTTCTCTTCCAAGTGAGGCAGAGTTTCAGTTAGTTCGAGATGTGGTGTTGCGATCCCTCTTGAATTTCTTGCCAGAAGGAGTAAGCAAGCTAAAAATCAGTCCAGTAACACTGAAGGAAGCCTACATCCAGAAGCTAGTCAAAGTGTACACAGAGTCTGACCGTTGGAGCTTGATATCCCTTTCCAACAAACATGGCAGGAATGTGGAGCTGAAGTTTGTAGACTGCATACGACGACAGTTTGAGTTCAGTGTGGACTCCTTCCAAATCATACTAGACTCCCTGCTCTTTTACTATGACTACTCGGAAGCCCCCATGTCGGAGCATTTCCATCCAACTGTGATTGGGGAGAGCATGTATGGAGACTTTGAAGCAGCTTTTGATCACCTCCAGAACAAGCTGATAGCTACCAAAAATCCTGAAGAGATCCGAGGTGGTGGGCTTCTGAAGTACAGTAACCTCTTAGTACGAGACTTCAGGCCCATGGATAAGGATGAGATCAAAACATTAGAGCGCTACATGTGCTCCCGATTCTTCATAGACTTCCCAGACATCCTGGATCAGCAGCGCAAACTAGAGACCTACCTCCAGAACCACTTCTCCAAAGAAGAGAGGAGCAAATATGACTACCTCATGATTCTGCGCAGGGTGGTGAATGAGAGCACAGTCTGTCTCATGGGACATGAGCGAAGGCAGACTCTCAACTTGATTTCTCTGCTAGCACTCAAAGTACTGGCAGAACAAAACATCATCCCTAATGCCACTAATGTTACCTGTTACTACCAGCCAGCACCTTATGTTAGTGATGTAAACTTCAGCAACTACTATCTTGCAAATGCTCCTGTGCCGTACAGCCAGTCCTACCCCACTTGGTTGCCTTGCAATTGATTGTTTCACTTGCGTGTTCTTGAGTGGAGGCTACTGAAGGCCAAGATGCTGAGTGTATATATAGACAAGTAATAACTGTCAGATGGAGGTTTTCTAATGGAAACATGACTGCATTGGACTGTCCACTTCCTGCTGTGCAGTAGGAGTATGCAACCAGGTGACCTGCTATGAACCTTTTAGTATGTCTCTACAAATGCCAAGAAGCCTTATTACCTCTTCATTTGGAGAAGAGAACCAGCAGCTAAATGTTAGAGTAGTTACAAAGCTCTGTACTAGTTCTGGAAGTGGCTATTAATGTGTGATCTAAGTGGAGTATTTGGTAAACTGGGTTAGTTAATCAAGGAAAGACTGTAAAATGTCTTGAGCAGAAGCCACTCCTGGAACAGCAACAAAACTCTACTTTCTATTGCCTAACCTCATTACTCTATACTTCCTCAGTTCAAGTTCTGGCCAACTTTCTAATGAATTAATTGTGCAAGAATGGGCTCGTGTCATGCTTGGGCTGCTTCTGTTTTCTGGCTGTGTAGAACTGGTAACTGTATGGATACTGTCTGTCTTGTAGAGGGCCTAAATATTGTTTCCTGTAGTACCTAGGGATATATGGTCCTGCCTCAAGTTCAAGATTAATTTCTTGGAAGTTGAAGATGGATTAGTAAGTCTATCTGTAAAGCATAAGCTGGCTAAATTTTTCTTGAGTACAAACATTTAGAAGGTGGCATCTCTAAACATGCACCAAAACATGATCTAAAACTTGGTCATGTGAAAGGTTCTTTAAATAAGGAATTGAAGCCTTAAATAGAATTGGAACCACAGTTTAAATAGTTAGGATGGAAAAATACTGTTGAGTCCAGGCTCAAGATAAAGCCTTCCTGACTGCATCTTTCAAAACAATTTTTGGCACAGTTGGAAAGTAGTGCAGCTCTTACACCAAGGTTTGGCCCAACTTTCTTCCTCACAGGTCCACAGCAAGCAAAAAAACCCCAACCAAATAAACCCAAACCACTGCAAGTTGCAGGGTGATGTGCACTCCTGCCACAGTATAAATTCCTAAAGTGCCTCCTAAAATGAATTTCTTGTACAACTTCAGGCAGGTCCTGAAGGCTTGTCTTTCTGTCACTGCTTAAGGGTTGAGCTTCCTGGTTTATCACTGTCACCTGGTCACTGTATGAGATGGTATTTTGAGTGGTTAGAGTAACATTTTTCCTCTTTACTGGTCTTAACCCTCACTTGAAGAGGTATATAAACCCTAAGCAGAGCTCTCCACAGAAGCTATATGTGTTGAAAGTCTGTCCCTGTTTTCAGAATAGCCTCTGGAAGAGTATTCCTTGGAGGTGTAGGGGGCTGACCTTCCTAAAGAATATGTGCTGAACTTGCTGCTTTGAAACTCCTGTGCTTTATAAGGAAGGCTAAAAATTCCCTGGTTATGTATATAGTGGTATTAGAAACTGGTATATTAACGGGATGATTTTCACTGAATTGCAATAGTAATATACATATAGCAAATGATCTTGAGTTTCCTTTGCTTAACCAGAGAAGTAGACTAGAAAGGCAAATCTTAGAGCTATTTAATATGTACTGGTGCAATGTTTAAGGTACTTGTTTGCTAAACCTTTTTTATGACTTCTAGTTGTCTCTGCAAGCTTGTGAGACCAAAGTGCCTGATCAAACAAATGATTTAAGCTTAGAAAGTAAAGCAGGTGAAACACCAATGTATGGTTGCTGTTCAAGGTGGAAAACAGTAGCAGTGCAGCACTTAAATGGCAGTAAAAAAACCTGCCTGTTCCTCATAGGACCAAAAACTTCTAGTTACATTGCAAGTTCTCGCACTTTTCATAACTACTTCATAAAGACTGCCTCAATAGAGCAGCGAGGCTACTCTTTTGTTCAGACTTCTTCATTTAGCTTAGGAAGGCAAGGAGGGATACAATCTAGAAAGCAGACTGTAGCCAAGCATGCTTTAGCTTAATTTTTTGAACAGTCTTGTAAGCAACTTCAGTAGCAAATAGACAAATAATTTGGTGTTTTCTGTTGTGCTTTTTTCATTAAAGGCTTCCTGAGTAGTCAGCCAAAGTAGCTAAACTTGAAAGTGAACCCAGCCTTTTTCATTAACTGTGGCTTGGACTTGGTGTAGCTTACAGACAAGGCATCTCTCACCCAAGGCTTTGACTATTTGGAAGGCTTTTTAAAAACTAACGTGATGCCAGTGTTGTCATGTGTGTTAAACTTAGTGCAAGCTTACTGCTGGAATGTAAACCTAGGCATGAATAACTTCTGCATGCAAGGCAGTACTTGGCCTAGTATGGAGTGTCACTAGAAAGAAGGAAGTCTCTTTGTTTAGGAGTTTGTAATTGCTATCATCTCTTAAATAGATATTTTTAAAGTCAACCTAAGCTATACCTGTTGCAGAAGTAAACCATTGCCTAGAGGGACATGTTTGACTTGCATATCAAATAGCTTAGACTCACACCTGTCTTGCATGATCTCATGGCTGATCTTTAGACACTGTTCCTGTGCATCAGCTTATGTGGAAGAATTGGTCAGATGCTCAGGAGGAGTCCTCACAAGCTTGAAACAGACTTACGTTATGCTAGTCTTTGAATGCCTTGGCTGCTGAACATCAGGCCAGGTGCATCTATTGGAAAAGGAAATGGAAGAAAAAAGGCTCCAGTGGATTCCTACTGAGATAGAGCTATGGAGAATTTAAGCTTCCTGCCATAAATATAGTGCTTTTGCTAATGTAACTTGTTGCTGAGGCCTCTAAGGAAGCTTTGCGTTGAATGGCTGCGCTCTGAACAGCTGACCTCCTGGGTTTAAGCTTTGTGGGACTGCTGTGTTCCCTGTCTGTCTCAAGTTGCTCTGGCGTATTAGAAATATTGATGCTTTGTAGCCTGGCTGCTAGATGTTAAGCTCTTGAATAGTTAAACTGTATCCTGAAGCTGCACACTACCTACTGCATTGGCCCTACTGTATAAGGGATTGCTGGGACACTTGTTCGTCTCATTGCCTTCAGAATAATCCTGGCTTGTCAGGTAAAGCTGGAATACTCAGTAGCTTTTCATCACTGTGTTGCAAGCAGTCTACCCCTTTCTGTTTCAAGTTGTCCTAGCAGCCTGATGATGAGTGTGGCAGTGGCTTAATTCGCTGTGTGCTAGCTGGTTCGAGTTCAGGTTTATGGTGGCCCCTGTAGCAAGGAGTAACATGAGAATGAGCACTAGGTAAAAGTTAAAAGTGATGACCCTAGGTCAAGTCTAGGCTGCCTGCTTGATTCAGTCTCCCTTCAGTACTTAATGATGCCTCTGCAAACCTGCTCTATCCTCTGTTGCTTGCTTGTGTGTCAAGTGGAGGTTAGAGAAAGACTACTATACTTCAGACTATTACCCTAACACATTCCCTCTGGGCAGTGGCATCAAAACAAAGCTGCAGTAACACTAGACTGCAAGTCTTGTATCAGTGCATCATTCCTCAGGACTAGGCTTCTAGTAAACTAGACTGTGCGGTCTAAAATAGCTGTTTTCTTCCTGTAGCACTTAAGCTCTGCTGGGCTAAGCCAGTCTGAGGTTAAGCATCTGTTGTCAATATTTATTGCCAAGTCCCCCTTGACTTACAGTATATTGGTGTGACTTCCTCATTGTAAGATAGATTTTTTTGTTGTTGTTGTTTGATGAAGATGCTACCAAGGAGACATAGTAGTAGACTGTGTTTTAGTCACTTTGGTAAAATCCCTGTGCTGATCCATGGTCACTCTGAGAAGTTGTAAGGTAAAGCATACTTCACGCTCCCTCAGCTCAAGATTTAATTATTGCTGTGTTTGTCCTCAGCTAGTTCAGGCAACCACTAAGCCAGAAGTTGAAAACTACTGCTTGCTTTTGAGTAACCATTTTTCAAAAGATCCTCACACTTTAACATTAATAATCTTGTCTACAAAGCAGCAGGTAGTATTTAAATCTAATCCAAATACCTAAAGCTTTTTATTGAAATTTAGACCCCTATTTTGGGATTGAGTTCTGGGGTTAAGCATTTGGTATGTTTTGTGCCTAGGCTTTGTGGGTTTCTGATCACTAGAATAACTACTAATGTTGGTAGTGATCTCTGCTTATCACTATGAGTGCTTGGGAAAAGGCCTCTTAAAAAGAGAACTTGGACAAATTGCTTTAATTCTAAGCTGTCAGTGTACTGATGGTACTTGTTTACTATCCCTGTCACTCAACTCATTCAGTCACGGTGCCATAATTGTTAGGCACAGGGATAAGCAGTAAGTTGACCGTAGTCACTAGCAACTTGGTCTAATTTGGGCATTGGGAGAGCCAAATAGACAGTAATACTTCTAGCCTTTGCATCTAAGTCTTACTCAACCATTTGCTAAATATGGTGAAGTGTATTTCATATGTTCTTTAATTTCAATGAAACTAGTTATAAGGTGGGATGCTGGGCTATAGGTGTAGAAGCTTTGGGGGGAATGGTTGGAGCACTCTGGTTTTTCTCGCTTGTATTGGAAGAGAAGGCCACTCACTGAAGTGTCTGGATTGGGCTTGTCTCTTTCTGATTAAAATTGCACTTTCTGTTGAAATTTAGAAGGCCTTTTTTTTTTCTATGTTTATCTCATTATTTTTACTATTAAAAGAAGTCAGCTCTTGGAAAATCTGTCTCATACCTCTTTGGAAGAAGTGAGTCTCTTTTTTTTTTTTTAAGCTGGCAAAACAAGGTACTAGAAATATTTGGATTTGTGATGAGCCCAAATGTGAGATTGGTCACAGTAACTTTGTCTACTGTTCTGCACTGTGGTGGTCACTTGTCTTTCTTGGAAATTGGGTTTTGGACCTTAATGATTCTGAAATTCTTGTGCAAATAAACTTATGCTAAACATTGCTTGCCTCAAGTAATTCTTGCATCTAAATAGTGCCGATATAGTATTTGTGGAGCTTATTGGCCAATGTGAGTGTGTAGATACATGGGGGGGGGTGTGTGAGAAATAGTGATGGGGTACACAGTAATGCTTGGTTTAGATGTTATTCAAGGTACTCTTTTTTTCTTATGAATGTACACATCTGCCTACACATCTGCCTCAACTTACTGAAGATTAGTCAGTTGAGACATGATTAGCTTTCACTTACGTTTATAGTGACAGCTACTAGAGAACCATTTTTTGCCCTCTCTGACTGTTATCTGGTCTCAACTTGACTTTAAAACATGTCGAGGCACAGTCCTAGGCCTGTTAGATAGTGTCTGATCTGAGCTAGAGCCTGCCAGTCTGTTCTGTGATGCACTCCATTTTATATGCTACTCCAAGTCAGGAGCCCCTGCATACCTCAACTCATGAGCCAAAGAGGTGAGAAACAAAGTCAGCATTGTTCTTCAAGTTACTTACAGGTTGAAAATCTTTGTGCTTTCACTCTGTCCTAAAAGTTGATGCTTCTACATACCAATGGTCAATGGGGGTTGAGCAGGTCAAAGCTAAATAAAAGCTAGGGGCATGTGGCAGTCTACTCGCTGCTCCTCCTGCTCTAGGATCAAAAATAAATGGACTGTAAAAAGCATGCTTGCTTCTAATCCCCTCCAGAGCTCAGACAAGCTCTAGCCTCTCAGTTCAGTAATGTTGGAGGAAATTCCAGTCTTCAGGACCTTGTAACACATGCAGTGGAAACTTCTGTGGTGATTAGCAGAGGCAGTGTGATCCCATGGAAGTAATCATGAAGCTTGTGTTGTCCCTTTTCAAGATGTAATTGCTTCCCTCTGAACTTAAATGGAGAACTGATAATGCAGCTGGGCAACATAAACCATCTGCTTGTTACCTGAAACTCCCT